GTTCAGCAGTGGAGATGAATTTTCCTGCTGGGATTTGAATTGTTGCTCTAAATGAGGGGTTTTTGTCTCTGTAAGTAAAGCAAGCTCAGGTTTCTTTTTTTTTTTTTTTCTTTGTTTTTAACTTGCTGCATTTTGCTGCTTTATAACTACCGCTAATAACCACCGTTTATTTTTCTTTGAATCCCCTTTCTGCATCATGTGCATATCACTTCCAGGGGTTTTGGTCCAAAATGCCAGGGTCTCTGGCATGTGCTTATTTTATTTTTAGAACAAAGAACAATGAAATATTTTCTTTGTGGAGAAACTTTCTACGAGGAATTACATGGACTTTGCAAACTGAGGTCATGAAAAATAGTCATCATTAGAATACACTATTAAAATAAACGAGTCTTTTTCACGTACCCATGCCTGTATGTTGTCTGCTCAGTCACTGTTAAGGAGGTTAATCGCCTTATTAAACATAATTGTTCTCTTTGCAAAATGAACCATTGTAGGTTTATACCAGTACAAAAGACCTTCTTTGCAACTCGAGTGTACTAACCTCAGTGCACACGTTTGCATGGTGCCGCACTTGGCTTTCCTTTGTTTCTCAAAACACAGCAGTAACTTATTCCTTTAGCCCATTTGTTCCTTTGTGTATTATCAGGGGAGCCTGCATTGTTTATGTATAGCCGGGATGCTCATGCTCTTATCTGTAACTCAGATTATTTATTGCATGGGGAAGGACACAGGAGCAGAAATTTAGTATTTTGTACTACAAAGCAGGTTGGTTGTTCACAATTAAACAAAAAAAGGTGGGGGGGGAGAGGTAAACAAGAGACAGCAGTGTGATCCCACAAATGATTTAAGAGACTTTTTTAAGCCTTCAGGTATATATCCTCATTGAGAATAATGCAGCAATGGATGAGAGGAGAATTAAACGGGGCTTTTTCATTTGTAAGGTCTCTGATTCTCTTTTTTTGGTGTTTGAGAGACATCTGGGAACAGGAGGAGAGATTGTAATTCTTTGTTGTTTGTTGCATGTTAAAAATCAGCCATTTCTAGCCCACTGGGAGAATGAGAAGCAAAGGGTTGACTGTAAGAGCAAAGGCGTCTGTTATAGCAATAACTCTAAGGATCATTGTAAGACGGGATTGACAAGAGGTTGGTAACAATTACCTGATAAAGTCTGAACTGTATAAAATCTGTTCATTACAAAGCCTGTATTTAATCATCCATTTTAAAATACAGAGGGAGAAATGGGTAGTATCTGAAGGTCTCTGAGAATACCGTTATGGGGGGTGGAATCTTTGTTCTGGTCTGAAATTTCCATAACATCCTAGCTTAAAAAGACATTGCAGTTGCAACTGTTGTTTTTTGTGTGGCTACTTTATCTCAGAGTGAGGATGGGGAAATAATTAAATATAAACAGGAAGAAATTAACAGTGATTGCAGGGGGTGTTTTGTAAAGTGGAAATAAAGTAATGCTCAGAGCTACCTGCAGTTTTTTTCACATTCTGCATCTGTAAAGGTTCCCTAAACCTAATTCTAGTTAATGCTAATGACTTAATAGTGCAAATCATGTTAGGAGCAGGATGAAGTCTCATATTTAGCCAGAGATGAAATTACACGCATGGGCATTAGAAAGTCCCTCTGGGCTAAGAAGCCAGCTCATATGTAGAGAGATGGGCTAAATAAGCTGAGAAGCCTTTTCTTCTAAGGTCAGCGGTAAGTTAACAGAAGCAGAAATAAAATCTCCCAGAACTCACTTCAAAGTACTCTTTTCCCTTCTTTTAAAGACAACTTATGTTTAAGGAACTACCATATCAAGTAGAGAAATTGTGGTTTATCTCTTCCCTCAGTGAAGGACCACTTCAGTCCAGTAACTTACCAATTTAGAAAATCACACTGGAACTCCCAGGATGCAAAACAGGAGCAGTAATCAAAATACATAGAAAAACAGTGGCATGTGCTGTGGTCATCCTCTTAGAACAGGCTGAAAACAGGAGGCTGATTCTCACTTTGGCTCAACTGGTGTAGGTCTGGAGTAATGCTGTTAATACCTTCGGAATTACATAAGTAATTGAAATACAGATTGATCCACTATGTGTTCATAACTCTGCAGGCATTAGGGATTAACATGATTATTGTATGAAGTTACACATGCATGGCACAAATGATGGCATCAAAGAGAGAAATTTTAGTAAGACCCTTGGAAGCTTGTGTTCAGAAAGAATGCATTATGCGATATAACTTGAATATATCTATAGCAGCTTAATTAGGCTTGCAAACCATCCTTTCAAGGAAATTCTTTAATTATTAGACATACTCTTTCAGTTGTCTGCATAGGTCCATGTAATTCAGCACTTCACTATCGTGTTGCGTGTGCTTCCAGTCTCTGCACTAAACTGCAGAATATTATTTGCAAATTTTGCTGACTTGCTGCCCAGATAATTCAGTTCTGGTAAGGTTGGGGTTTTAATGTATTTTGGGGTCTTCCTTCATAACATCCAAGTTGAGCCAGCAGTCAATAAGTAAACATGTCATTGTGTGTGTCCGCATTGCAGAATCTTCGGCCTCAGGAAAGTCGGACCGTATTCAGTGGCTCTGTCAGTATCCCATCGATCACGAAATCCCGCACAGAACCAGGACGATCGATGAGCGCAAGCAGCGGGTTAGCAGCACGTAAGCAAACAGAACTGTGTTGATTTCGGATGTACAACTATTTTAGGGAAACGGCTACCTGCATTTGCTTCTATCCATACCGCTACTAGACAGGATTTTCAGAAGTGATGGCTAACTGTATTCCCATTGAGGGCAAGCACAGTACTTTAATCTTGCTTTCAAAGGAGCACATGAATAAGCAGCTAGCACTTTTGATAGTCCCACATTTGTTATTTGTCAAGTTTTTAAAACTGACGTTAGAATTAAAACTACATTCTTACCCTTGGGACTACTTTGCTGCTGCTTATGTGTTTTAAATCAGTGGGAAGTTGTTCACAAGCTCCATGGTTATTAACTTTGTTGCTGAACTGTGTAGAGCTCTTGATGCCTCTCTTGCTGCTAGTGCAAAGAGAAAGCAATAGAAAACTAGCTGCTGGTATGGAAGAGTCACATTGCATTGGAAATACCTCTCCTAGTGCTGCCATGCTGCCTTTGTGTGCCGGAGTCATCTCAGTGACCTGTGCTGAGACCAGGCAAATGGACCATGTGAAAATAGAGGCAAGACTGTTCTAGGTTTTTCCCTTTCCTGTGGCACATGCTGCATTTGTTGCACACTGCCAACTGCTTGCAGAAAGCGTATGTGTCTGCTGTAGTCTGTACCTGCTGGTACAACCCACCTACTCCCCGGGAAAGAGGCCACTGGAACTAGGCTGCCACCACAGCAGTTTCTACAACTGCTGTTTTTGTCGGGAACATCATGACGGTGTCTGTGCTGGGTAAAGTGTGCTAATGCTGATGTGCCAAGGGAGGGACCAAAGGATCCCTAGGAAAAACTGCAGCTGGCAGCAGACGAGATAAAAGCCCCTACAGCCTGCAAGCCATGAGCTGAGCATCTTGGGACATGCTGGAGGAAAGCAGAGCTAACCAGAGAAACGGCTAACAAATTTCTAGTACCTTGAGTGGGTGTCTGTAACACAGTTTAATTCCTCCGCCCATTTTAGGATCGTCTGCACAAAACGGCAGTGCTTTGCGGAGGGAATTCTCAGGAGGTAGCTACGGAGCAAAGCGTCAGCCTATGGCATCGCCCTCAGATGGTTCCATATCCTCTGGTGGCCTGGACCAAGGCAGTGATGCACCAACAAGGGACTATGAGCGAGAGGTGAGTGACAGGAGAAAGAGGAAAAAATTTAAGTGCGTTGATAAAGATGAGGAAGTTAAATTCTGTCATGGGTTTGGCTACAAGTTTGGGAGTTGCTGACAGTGAAGACTTGGATTTCGTGTATTTCAAGCTATCCTGACAAAAGACTTTGGTCAAACTGTGTAAACTCTGGTCCTGGTATTTAACATGCAGAAAACGCTCTCTGCGCTCCTTACGTGGAGTTACATGGGTAGTGAGGCTCCCAAAAATACTGGTCCAGTAGAGTAACAGCTTGATAGTGCCTATCACAGCTTGAAGTGGTGATATTCCTTCTGCCCTTTATTTGCAAAGACTCTTAAGCTCTCTTAGCAACCGTTTCACGGGAGACATTTTGTACTCAAGAGTGCCTGAAGTTAACAAGGTAATTTAAGAATTATCATATAATAATTTCATTTAGAGCAGAAACTGGATTTAATAATTTATATTCCGGGCAGAACAAGACGATCATTATGATAACACTGCAATCCTGCCCAGTGCTCAACTCAGTCCCTTCAACCAAGAAAGTTTTACATGGGAGGGTTCAATGTGAAGTTGGCCAGTAAAACTTCCCCAGCCCAGTGAGAAAATTAGAGATCACACAGGCTTTTCATGGTACTGAATATATCTTTCCAGTTGAAGCTGGAAGGCAACTGTCAACCCAAACTCAAGCTCAGAGATAGTTGCATTCTGCTGTACTCTGGAAGATCCAACTGGAATTAACTTGATAGGATGCTTTGAATTAATATCCTGGGAGTGACACAGAAGAGAGAGCTGTGATGAAGCCCATACCACAAAGATTTCTCAGTTTAGTGCAAGAGCATCTCAGATCATAATCTGTGAAAAGGCAGGAGCCATCGTAGCTTCACAAGCAACCTGAAGTTGCACACTCTGCTGACCAAAAGGCCCTCGGCAACATGCAGACTGTAAGAATCCCACAGGTGCTGTGTCCTTATGTCAGTGTCAGTTATGCCCGCTGAAAGCAGAGTTATCTGACCACTTACTCTTAAGTCTCCCTGGATCAGGAAATTCTGAGCAAAAAAATTTCCTCAGTTTTTTTGGACACAAGCAAAATATGTGGTGGCCTTTGAATCCAGTCACCTGTTGCTCAGACACCCTCAATCACTCTCAAACTTGCTATCCTGTTACTTACTGGTGTTCTTCTGTGTCTGTGGGCTGCAGGACTCTGACTCTCCGAGACACTCTACTGCATCGAACAGCTCCAACCTCAGCAGCCCTCCCAGCCCGGTTTCTCCTCACAAGACCAAGAGCCTCTCCCTGGAGAGCTCTGACCACGTGAGTTGGGACTCATGAACTGCTTCAGCATTCAGATTTGACATCACAGCAGCTTGCTGTCCCCATGGCTGTCCCCTTCACTTATTCCAGTTCTCACCTTCATCATCCTAACCCTCCCCATTCCCTGTCTGAAAGTGATCTGGGAGTGGGGTACAGAGGAAGGTAAAAGCTGGTCGTCTTCAGCACCGTTTGGCACTGCCTCACCCTCCCTTCCCCAGATTTGACAGCAGCAAACAAGCAAAGCTAGGGTGTTGGTAAATATCAGATGCTGTAGATTTGTATTAGTATTGGTTTAATTTTTGTGGTTACAGCTGCTTTAAAAGACATATTTATCCCACCCCCTTTCCACTTCCCAAAAAGTAGCGTAAGTAGACCAGACATCAACAAGAGAAAATACAGAGGGATTTTGTTTTCATACAATAGCTCATTGTACTGTACAAAAGTAGCACAGACCCCCTCCCCTATGTGGGGAATGATCAGTATGTCAGAGGCACATAAAAGCTTTCAGCCACCACGTTTGAATGTCAATCTGATTGTCGCCAGCAAATCCTTATTGATTAAAATGATGCATATTTTACTACAGTACAGAGTTTAAATAAATACACAGATGTTAGAGTAAAATACGTATGTATATATTCAAAGAAAAAAAGCATTGTGTATGCAGCAGAAGATGGATGCTTATTTAAGAGAGCCTTTAATTTAAGATTTGTGTTGTCCCTGTTTTCATGCTCGGTAATATACAGACTTGGAGGCCTGGCCTAAAACCTTTCGCAGGACAGATATTCCTTTTGCGTAGCACTCGCTGCACTGGCGGGAGAGGTCCCTGCAGTGCTTTCACAACATTTCTTTACTTCTGGCGGTAGCATAACTAAAGCTATAATTCCTACTTCCATGTTAATCCCCATCCTTTGCAAAAATGACAACAATTGGAAAGCAACCCCTGCCCCGACAACCAAGGGCACCAGTCAGCCAGGAGGCTGCCCTGGTTTCTTGTGTGCTAGCTGTGCAGCTGAGGAACCTTACGGCACGCTACAGTAGAGGTCCTTAAGGCAGCAAGGGAGTTCATTGCAGCAGGATGCAGCAGGAAAACTGTTTCCCTGGGTCAGCCTTTGTGCAGGTTTAACTCGGAAGGGAGCAGTCTTCCACACCTCCGTGACCATCCCTAACCAGAAAACTGTTACTGTTGTTACCAAATACTAGTTGCTAATACACATCAGCCAAATGAGTGCCCTTAGCCTGAAGCTAGCCGTGGCTGGCTATGCTGTCACTGTAGCAACGAAGAACCTTGAAGACTGACCTCACACTGTTCACACTGTGGTAGTAGAAGATGCCTAGTCACCCACAACTGCCATGCTGGCAAGGTTGGTTTTCCTCTCCCTCCCCATCCATGCTGTGGGTTTGTGCAATTTGCAGTTGTTTCTGTGTGCTCACCTGCTGTTTGGTTCCAATAGCAGGTCAGGTTGGAGGGCAGAGAGTATTGTAGTAGAAGACAGAGCCCACTGAAGTTGCAAAAATAAGTAAAAAGCTGAAGCTGGTCATGCAGTCAACAGAATAAAGTGAGAGACTGATGTACAAGTGGATGGTAAGAGGAAGATGTCTCTTCTCTTTACTTAGCAAGGCAGATGGTTTTTCATTTGGGAGTGTGTTCAAATGAGCCTCTTCTCAGTAGTATTGTTGCTGGCTTTATACTATGACCATACTCAAACATATAAGGGCTTTTTGTATTTAGAATACTGGTTTTTGTGGGTTTCGGAAACTTATTATGGCTCTTATTAAACCATTCCATATTCTTGCAGTCAGCAGTATATAGTGTTTCACCCACACAGAGACGTTTGGAGTTTTCCAGTTTCTGTCTTCCCTAATGGAAGTTATAGGTAAGTTCAAACCATGTACAGTAATTTCCAAGTGTGATCTAAATGTGAAATAGGGAATGAGACACAGATCGTTTAATCCATTTAATCATGCTGGGTCTCCTAGGTAAGATTTCTCTTTCATTCTGATTCAAGAGGCTTGTCCAAGTTTAAGCTCATTCAATGTTATTTTGGGACAGGAATTCAAGAAATTTTTTAGAAACCATCGTATCAAAAACCTGTCTCTCTCCTGTTTGGGTTTTTCAGAGTAGCAAGCTGGTTGTGTTTGTTTTCACTTCAAAGCTACTACTTTTGCAAGCCTGGCATTTAGTATTAAAAGCTTTAGCAAACAGCTAAGCACTTGAAATTAATTCCTCCCAGAATAGTTTTCAGTCTTTCTGAGGGACAGATAGGCAGGGCGTTACTGGCATTATTAAAATTCCACATCAGCTTCTTTTAAAGGCTGCATATTGCTTCAAGTATAGCCACTGCTTTTTCCCCACAATTCCCTCCTTTTGGTGAAGCATGTCCACACACTTTTCAAAGCCTTTCCAGACTTAGTTTTGTATTTACTGTATGTTGTATTTAAACATTAATCTTATTTTGATGTTGAGAGAAGGCATTTAAACAGCAGTCATTTAAGACAGAGCAGCCTGTGTGACAGTCCCCCTGAGAGAGGGTCACAGGATCTTTTTTGTGCTTTTTTTTTTTTGCAGTTGAGCTAATGCTCTATCTGAAAATGGAACCCAAAGACCCACGACACAGCAAACAATTAAATCAAGTAAACCCCTATGTTTACTCCGCTATGGTGCCTGCAATCTATTGATACCAGGTGCCTGCAATCTATTGATATCAAAAACTGACATTTTCAGGCAGAGCGAAGGTCTGCTGTGTTACAAACTAAGCTCTAGAGGATGAGAGCTCCACAGGCCTACGCTGTTTGTACACCACAATTTCTACGTCTTGGCAGTCTCCTTTAGGATTACTATATTTAATCATTAGTTTGGTACTGTGCATTTTTATACACATCTGTTCAAAAGAGAAACAGCAACTGTTCTCTCAGTTGAAAAGCAAATGACCACATCACTTATTTGAAAAGAGAAAAATTGTCCTAGGACTTGAATAGTTTTATATATTTGGGGACCATTTGATTATACACTCAATTTTAAACCACACTCATCTTTTTTTGTTGGTATGAACACTGAAAACATATGCATACTGTAGCTGAGCTTTTTAAATACTCATCGGGCTAGGAAAAGTAACTTGGTCATTTGAACTGTAAGACTCTTGACTGGTATCTCGAAGACAGTTGTCTCTTAAGGTTTGATGTTTGCTACTTTGCACTGTAGCATTGCTTCAACTTCACAGTTAGAGGGCTGCATTTTGTTCAGGGAGCTTAAAATCTCCCATTGAATTTTTGACTGTAGCATATGTTCTCTGTACACAGTATGTATCTAGCTGATTTTTTCCTTTTGGCTGAGACTGAAGGTGTTTGCATTTTTGACACTGCTTAAACATATGGGTTGTTTGGTTTTTTGCTTTTTTCCCTCTCTTTTGATGGCAACAAAGGATCTGAACAGATTCAGGCAGCTACTAAGGATTCCAGGTTATAGAATGAAAAAGGTTTGGTAAATAGTTTTCCCTTGCACGTGCGCGCACACAGATATGTGGCTTCCTTCCACATTTCATAAACCCAAAAGCAGGGTTATAGTACTCTTCTCTATTGCCTTTGACCTGTAGAAGACAGCTGGTGGTTTCAAAAAAACACTCCTGAGGCTGTGGCAAAGTAGTTGCTTCTTTTCCTCTCAGTTGCTGTGGCTTGTTATGAATGTGCATTTTGCCCATTTCAACAAGTTTCAAAACTGAGTCAGGAATGCTATCTCTTTGATTTAATTCTGATAAAATTACAAGCCAGGTGTGTTATTCTCAGGTATACCGCAGAGGGAAGTTAAGGGTCTTGTCATACCAAAAAGCATAGTGTATTTATAGAAACGTAGTTTAACGGCACCTAACTGGTTCACAGAGTGTGCCAGCCTTTCAGAACAAAACAGTTGGAGTATTAACACAGAAACAGATTCTGGCACCATATTGTCTTGAATGGCCAGACCCTGAATGATAGGACAAACATGCTCTTGGGTGGAAGAAGGGTTTTTTCCATTTTATGCACACTGTTTAATTTTAAATGAATACATTAAGGATAAAATTTATTGCAGTACAAGTACCCACACCTCCTGAGCCTTAGTCTGAGAATCAAAGTGGCACATAGTAGCTTCTGCTGTGTTGTTTTTTTTGTTAATAGGAGTCAGTTCCGTGGAGGAAATGGGACAACTTTCTGCACTAACACAAATGCACCCTTCTGCGTGCATTGTGTTCACACCATTATTTGATAAACACCCCCAGAAACCACTCTGCTGCAGGCTTTCCAGTCTAAATTCCAACTCTACTTTGTCTTTCTTTCCAGCTGCAGCTCAGTACAACCTATTTTCATTCTGCATTTAAGAAAGTCTCATCCACAGGGAAGAAATCCACAAACAAACCAGTGTTGGTATTTCAGAGCAATTATACCTGCCTTTTTATGTATGACAGTTTCATATCATTTATTTTTAAAATATGTTTTTTAGGTTTTTCATTGTAATATTATTGTACAGTTTTGCATGGCATAGATGTAATCACTTTTTTGTTTTAGAGTATAAAAGCTGACAAGTGTGCGTGTGGGGGAAAGATTCTGCTTTTTGCCTCTTCTCACTATTTTGTTTAATGCCCTCAATGTTTTAGGGGACATTGTAAGAGATTCTCTGCTACAGAACAATGATGTAGATTCTTTTGCACAGAAATATTTAAGGTGGAAAAGTCAACAATGTAAAAATGACTTACCACCAATATTTTATGTTGGTAACACACTTAATATTAACCTACTTTGATGTACTGCAATAAAACAGGGAACTGTTAGAAATGCAGATGTTTTGTCTTTTTTTCCCACCTCCCCATGTTAAGCTTTGAGGAGGAAATGGAAAGGGGAGTAATGGTGTTCTTGAAGATAAAACCAACATGTTGTAACACATCTGTACGAGTACACAGTGGGAAGAAGAGGAGTATATGAGAAAATCAATTTAGTTCTCACAGCTTTCAGAAAAAATTACTAGAACCTTTTTGAAAATTCAAAGTCAAGCCACCTTATACTTCGGCATATTGAACTTCACCAACTACAGTTTTCCTGACCTTTTTCTTAGGTGATCTGTTCTGTGTCAGTATTCGTAGTCATTGTTTCTGATGTTCCTCTTCATTTAGTTACACATCAAATGTTTCAGCTGCCCCAGCCTTAGAGGCTACCAGCATCAAACTGACTTCCATGCATCTCAAAATACCTGTGAAGTTTTGCATGTGCCCTGACCCTTTCACATCATCCACCAGCTCTTCGCAAGTCAGCCTGGGATTTTCTCCATACCAGGGGCTGTCTGTTGGGACATCTTCCTCTTCATTCATTACCCTGTTGGTAAAAGTCCTAGCTTTGATTACATGCTTCAATCACCCCCTCAACCCACAGAAGGAATACAGGACTATCCTGTAACTGATCCTGTATCACCAGCAGGTGGCAGCCTGAGCATTCGCCCATTACCAAAGACCACCAGCAATCCCCTCCAGGAACAGTCAGCATGCTTCCCACTTCTTACATGGCCACAGGCTACCTTACGCCACAGAAACTTCTGATCCTGTCCCTCTCCTTCAGTCAAAATTATTACTTTCTCAGCACCACCCCCCCAGCTTATGTAG